CGGTGGCGCTCGCTTCCCGGATCCCGCGGCCGCTGCCGCCGTGTGCCCCCCCAAGAGACTACAGCTCCCATCATGCAACGCGCGGCTGCGCGACATTCACCCCGTGGGGCGCTGAGGACGAGGCCCGCCCCGCGGGGCGCGTTGCATCTCGGTCGTCGTTGTTCTCAAAGCAGCTTCAGCAGCGTTCCGCAGGAGGGGTTCGGCGTTAAGCCTCTGGAAGCACCGCCATCCCCGCGTCGCTTCACGCTCGTTCCCCGTGTGAATTCCGTTCAGATCGCTCCCCCTGACGGTGGGGCGTTCGACTCCGAGCGCGCCGCGGCCCCGTGCAGGCCTCCGTGTCCTCCCGCAGTTCCTGAAAGCTCCTGGGCGCGCCGCAACGCTTTCGGAGCTGGTTTGATCCTCGGCGCCCACCGTAGGCTGCTGCCTGTCAGCTGCCGGCGCCTTTGTGGAGCGGCGGAAGCGGAGCGGGGCGCTGCGGCCGAGGGGCGGTTGGAGCAGGCGGAGGTCCCGCGGCCAGGTGCGCCGGGCTCCCGCGGTGGCCGAGCTGCGCCTGGGGCCGCTGCCCCAAAGGCCGGCGGCGGGGCGGGGTCCCCAAGAGGGGGGGACCGGGGGGGTGTTGGTGGTGCTGCCTTCTCCCGGGCCTCAGGGTGTGGTAGGGTCCTGTCAGGGTGGGAGTGCGCTGCCGGGCTCCCTCCGCGGTACGGCCCTTGGGGGATTTGGGTCGGGAACTGGCTACTGGCGGCACCCGGTTCGTACCGCTGACATCTTAAGGTGGGGCGGGGTGGGCGCTCCTCTCCTCAGGGATGGCTCGGTTTCTGCCGCTTTGCTTTCCTGGCTCGGCATTAGAAAGACGGGTGGGGCGGGAATCCATGGTGTGGTGACAAGGCGCCTTCCTGGTGCTGTTTTAAAGCGAGACGGGAACGCTATTTGAAAATGCCGACAGTAGATTTATTATTATTATTAATCTATTAGCACTTAAATGTTTGCAGACAACATGGAGGAATACTACATTTACCCCAGTATACGTACTACTAAATATATTGGGGTAGATGTACGAGGCTTGCATCATTTTGCATCCTTTTCTGTTCTTAGATGTGCTACGTGAACACTTGCAGTTATTCTTAATTTTGAATTAGTGACTAGTTATATTACTAATGCCTGATCTGGTATCTTTGTTATCAAGCTTAGTGTAAAAGCATTTATAGATCCCTCGTCTGTTGTAGAACCACTTTTGTGCTTTCTTTGCTGACTTGGATTTGTTTAACAACAGTAAAATTAAGCTTTTATTCACTCAGCCCATTCATACAGGTTTTCATACCTGTGTTCTAAATCTCTGTTAAGTTCTGAAGTGGGTTTTTTTTTCACCTTTTGTTTATTATTGATCTTCCTGTCTGTATTTAACTGAGTTAGCTGTGTAGTAAAACTTTTTGTAGAATTTTTGTCTTTAAAAGATCCATCCGTTTCTTAGCAGTGTACAAAAATTTTGGTGAAAAAATTGGTAATGCACATATTTTACAGGGTTTTTTTCCATCACAGTTGTACTTAGTTTGCCTTGCAATTTATAGCAGTCCTGCTAAATCTTTTAATAAATCTGTGTTTTGAATCCTACAGCTGTATGTAGAAGGATATATAGCTTACATACTGCTAAGTTATAGCATGCCAATATTTAAGTTGTTGAAGTGAAAAGTAAAAGATAGATATTGTGCTGGTATTCTCCTTGTTGTTTTCAGTCTCATAGTTGGCTCTGTAGCTCTACAGAATCCTATGGCAAGATCAGGTAGACCCATCTTCTGTGCCTAACACTTCTTTCAAAGCAGTTCCTTCAAACAGCATCAGAACTACCTTAGGAATGGATGCCGTCACTGTATCACAGTTCTGTCTGTTTTAGATCAGTCCCTTTAGTATTGAGAATGTGTTAAGTGAAAGAAATGTGGAAATAGGAATGTGATTTTTTTTTTTAATTGTTATTTTAAGACTTTTCACAGTTCTGGTTTTAGTAGGTTAGTGTAGTTCCTTTAATGATAGGTTATTTAAAGGAAAGCTGCTATCTTAAAAAACAAACAAACAAGCAACAAAACAAAACAAAAACCCAAACAGAAAACAAACAGTGGTATGATTTCTGTTGATCAGTGTTTCAGCCATGTCTGACAAAAGTGAACTGAAGGCGGAGTTGGAGCGCAAGAAGCAACGATTAGCTCAAATTAGAGAGGAGAAGAAAAGAAAGGAGGAAGAAAGAAAGAAAAAAGAAGTAAGAAATAATTTTCTCTTTGGTATTTGACTGTTTGCATATGTAACTTGCCCAAAATTTAAGGGTAGGTTCACTTAGTCATTTGCTACGTGTTATTCAGGGAGTATCTATTTAATGGTCAGTTGCTGATGCAAATGTAGCCCTTTCATTTTCTGATAAGAGAAAACACCTACTGTTTTCTTTAGAATTATCCATGTCGTAAGTTAGAATTTATTTTTTTTTAAATCCTACACTTGCATAAAGTTTGGATTTCTAAAACTACTTGTGTGCATGGGACATCATTAATCAAATCACTGTAAAGTATTGCACAAAAGCTCTGCTTAAAGAGTTGTGATGGTGTTATTTAGAGAACTCATTTCTGAAGTGCAGTTCCAAGGATGTCTATATGAATTGTCTGACTGTCAGTATTATTATTGTACAAACAATGTGCTACATTCTTCTACTCTTTGACTCATCTTTAGCCTGAATTTTAAAATCGGAGTAACACTCAGGATATATATGCTACTTGTGTGTTAGACTTGGTTTGTTAACAGTCTTCTGGATTTCTCTCTGCTAAAGTATGTGACAATCAGTGATTTATTACTGTGTTTCTCCTGAATGCAGATTATACCTCATAAATGAAACTTTTGCTGGAATATTTTGTGTTTTGGGGTACTCTTTCAAGACTTCTGTGTGTTTTGGTTATGATCTTGTAGATGTTCTAAATTAACATATGACTGAAGACTGGGCAGCTGCCAGCTACATGATTCAGACAAAAAGGAGAGGGAAATACCTCAAATTATGTTCTGATGATCTTGTAACAATGTATTGCCTGTAACTGAGATTCCACATGTGATGCAATAGCTTGTCAGTTGAGAACTTGCTCTGAAATTTGGGAATTGCTTTTTTAAAAGGAATTGTGCAGTAAATTAGAAGCGTAATGTGCAGTCATGGGAGGAGCAATTAGTCTTTAATCATGGCACAGGGACAGAATAACTTATTTTAGATTTTGCTGCTTCTATTAAAGACTTGTATCATCAATTTATATTTGCAAAAATATTCACTTGCCGGTGGCTGAGTTGTGAACACCTTAAGCTATGAATTATATTTCTGTAATTGAATGAGCAGTTAAATGAGTGTGGAAGGATAGGGAGTGTTCAGCATCTTTCATAGTAGAGCTTGTGTTATTTCTAAATTATGAGGATGGGGGTGTAATTTTTTTTGTGCGTGAAATTTAGCAGATAATAACACAACTTAAAGAAAACTACAGCCCTGTAAACTTGAAGTTACTGCATAGTTTTTTAAGACTTTATCTTTTTTTTTTTTTTTGTGAAACCTGAGGTTCAAAAGAAAGCTTTCTCACTAAACAGCTTATTGATGTGGGGGGGTTTTTTTTAAGTAGCTTAAAATGCACACATAGACTATCATCACTTTTACATCTTACACATATTTTCTTAATTGCTACACACTTTAGCATGTGCTCTACCTAGCCAAGTGCCCTAATACTTTCTCAACCAAGGAAGGGTCTCTCTTACTGTCATTCTAACCCTATCGTGTTTTCTTTGACACGGTTATTGTCATTTCAAAATGAGAACAATATGACTGTCATCAAAAGACTTTTATACCCATGTATATAATACATTTCTTTTTTTAGTCTTTGCATTTTACAGTGCTTAGCATTAGTGTAAAAAAGCTATTCTTGATCTTATGAAGTGTCAGTCATTTTGACAAATGAGAAGACACTTTTTGCATGTTATATATCTTTTAAAGACAGTACCAAAGCTACAAAATGTTGTGATTCCTGTCTGTTGTTTACTTTATGTACAGAAAGGACCATTAGAATTACTAGAGTCAAATACCTAACCTGTATGATGATAGATTTCAGTAGTATAAAAAACTTATGAGATCTCAAAAAATAAATTAAACCATTTTTAATACCTATTAAATGCTATAACTTAATAATTGAATTATTTTCAGACTGATCAGAAGAAAGAAGTTCTTCCTGTACAAGAAGAATCTGATCTTGAAAAGAAGAGAAGAGAAGCTGAAGCATTACTTCAGAGCATGGGGTTGACACCTGAGTCTCCTGTTGGTAGGAATGTTAATATTAGTTTGAGATAAATGTTTTTGGGGTTTTTTTGTTTGGGTTTTCTGGGGGGGGTGG